GAAATACTCTAAATATCCGAATTGTTTATCAGAGTATAATTTGAATTGTACTGCTTGTAAATTTCTGCTATACAACTTTTTCATTGCATGAAAAATAAATTAGTGGCTTAGGTCTCGCCTAGTTTCCACTCCCGTTGAGAAATGCGCATCGGAAAGCAGCCGCAATGAATCCGAAAAGGCAGTGAAGTTGGTATCTCCGTCTTCGGAACAAGCAGCTGTCCAATCTGTGAGATTTTATTAAAGTTTTTCGAAATCATCTAATTATTAGACTACTCCTAAGGATAACCAAGAAACAGTAGGACACGGCATGCTGCAGAGAGCATTTCGTGGGCTGATCCGTAAACGTGAGGTAAATCCATTATCTTTTTGGTATACATAGAAAATCAAACTCGGAACCCGGACAATCTAATTATTAAGGGTGAACTGGTTCGAAGAATTGTACCAGAACAACCAGCTCCTGCTGCTCCTGCTGCTCCTGCTCCGAGAGCAGAACCAGTTGTTTATGTAGAGAAGAAGGGTAAGCAAATTCAAACCTTGTAGTTTCATGGCTCCACATATGTTTAATCAATTAAATAACGGGACGGCGGAGAGGGAGGGAAGAGGAGAGGTAGGCGGGAGGGATAGGGAAGGGCGCGAGTGGGGAGATTGGCACATTACTCCCCCGAATCCTGAGAGTACTGCACAAATCTAATTGAAGTTGAAAATGACCTATTTCTGCTCGTAGGAAACTTGCAAACTCCCAAACTAACTAAATTCTGTAAAAAAGTTCAAAAAGCAACCAATAGAAAAGGAGCGTAGGCTAGGACCGCTACGATACGCCCTTTTGGAATAAGTTCTCTACCGCTTCCCTCCTTCCCCCTCTCTTCCATAAAAACTCGGGGATTGTTTGCATTTTCTCGTTTTAGGAAAATTCCGAGCAATGAAGAAGAAACTTTTTGAACGACAACAAGAAATGGGGATCCAAAAAGTTCAAGAAGATGTTTTTTCTTCTGTTATTGGATTCATTTCATCCAAACATCCCGATGTAGCCGTTGCATACTCTTTCCAGAACAATTTTCACAATATATCAATGATAATGCAAGGTCGGTTCTTAATTTTTAATTAGTCAGTTTTGACATACTTTGTTTTTTCCTCCATCTTCGTCATTTCTTGCGTCTAAGCGCTTCTAATGATTGATTAGTTCATTTGTCAAATTGGTTGTAAGTTACAGTTCACCCGCTATTTTCTTAAATTACAATGCCAAAAGGTCTAAGATAAAAGGGCTCATGAGGGATAATAAATCTGTAAAGGAGCAGAATGCAAAAAATTTCTTCTGATTATGGCACGAAGGATTTTAATAACTTAGAAATACAGATTTATTTGCAGAATTATTTGACTACCTGGAGAAAATCTAATACTGTTCAAAGCACATGTTGGTAATTTCATCCTTATTTTGAGGCAAGAAAAGTTGTTCTGCTATTTCTGAAAACAACGTTACTGCGCTTGGGTTTCAAGCTTGAAACAAAATGAATAAATGACTACTAGAAACGATAGTATCTGGATTAATCCAAGATCATCAAG